CATACAGGAAGAATTGCATTCCCTGTTTTGGCAACAGGTAGTTGGTTCCATAACATATTTTTTCCTCTGTCAGTATTGCCTTCAGACAGGTGTATGGGATGTTGACGTTTCCCGAGCATGTCCGCAGCCCTCCTTGCTTTTTTCTCCCTTATTTCATGTATGGTATTGTCTTCCTTCTTCTCCTGTCCTCAGTCGGTATTACGTTTTCTTTTCCTTTTTTCTTATCTTTTCAGGACAAATGGTGCCTGCACAAATAACCACCCAGCAAAATGGGATTATAATATCCTAATCCTACACTGTGTTCATGGAAGAAGGGCGTTTACCTTAATACACCTCTTTATTGCTTGCAGACCCTGTGTAATATAGAGTAGATAGAATATAGACTAAATTTGTTAGTACTTCTTTTACTAAACAGACATGTCATGCCAAATGTTTGTTTCCTATTAAGCCTGTTCTTTACTGAGAGCTAATAATGAGCCACCTCTTTTGTTCTCTTTTTTTTTTTTTTTTTGTATGTGTTCTTGACAATGTTACACACTTAAACTCAGGTATATTCAGAAGTCACATGATTAAACACAAATGTCCAGAAAATGTGCATTTTCATATTGTCAACAGTTGTCTTTATAATCAACAAACTGTCCAGATGATTAATATCCACCCAGTGGAATGGAGCACTCCCTATTCGCAGATGATCCACAAGCCGTACTGGACAATATGACGTTAGCAGGGGGCAAAGGTGTTGAAAAATGAACTGCAGCCCTGGTTAAATCGATTATGAGGACCATGGATTGCAGAAGACCTTCAGGGTAAATTTATAGTTAACCAAATAGCATTGAATAAAAGCATTTTTGGACAAGCTTCACTCCAAGTTAATATTCCTTTCTGGGAGGGAAAACCAGAAGACAGACTCTGTCACAGGGCTAAGAGAATTGCATAAAAGCCTCCTGGCACTGGTTTTGGCAGGACAGTCTGCTAACTGAAAAACACCTAGAAACAGCATCCAAGTCATTAGTAGTTCTGACGGTGTGTTATTAATGGTACCCGTCCTCAGATAGAATAGCCAATATGCTAAGCATTAAACTGAGTCAAATGCATTTTTTTTTTAACCTAACTGCTAGCTTAATAGAGAAAATTACCTAGGCAAGGAGAGGAAATGATGGGTATACTTTTTTCTCAAGCTGGCAAATGCATGAAGGGTATGGGGTGTACCCTCACAAGCATTCCAGCACCGTGGGTCACCTGGAAATTGCAGGATGTACTTTCACTGAGCTGCAGAGCTCTGCATAGAAGCTGCTAATGTAGAGTATTGGTGTAGAATAATCATGTCCTGCTGGCAAGTGTTAATCAGAGTTTCACTGACATGGAGCAAGATAGGGAGAAAATTACTTCAGCCCCAGGTATTTTTTTTCCAAACTGTAACGTCTCTCTGCAGTGTATATAGTAAGAGAAAATCATTGCGTGGAATATATAAATTAAGTGGGTGGAGAACTGCACTGCAGAAGACAGTACCCACATTATTGTGGGCCTCTGTTTGAGGATGCCTTTAGCACGTACAATAATCCTCACAGAGGGGCCAGTCGCTGTACACATATTGTGCTTCCCTGAAAACAAGTTCTGCATTTCCCTAGTACGGGTGAGGAAGATCCAGCTGGGTGCATGACTGCGTTTTGCCGGGAGAGATGCACCATCATTTTTCAGTCTTCAGAAGCTCTGGAAGGCGGAAATTTTCTTCAAGCTGTCAGTAGTGCTGGGGAGGCCTTCACTGCTTCCAATACAATACTTAATGCCAAAGCTCATCTCAAAAATCTTTCTTGCTCTAGATACCATACAGTAGTACGGTATCCTCATTACTGTATTTACCTCAGCATGCTTTCTAAAAGCTTTTTTCCCCTCAAACTTTTGTAATAGTCTGTCCTTGCTTGGCTGCAGGAACTTGTTTTCTTTTTTTCACTGCATATTCCATGAACCCTTTTTTTGGTTAAAAAGTGGAAAACCAGTAGATAGCAAAAAGTAATGTGAAATCCTGCTCACCGAAGCACTCTAAAAAGCGTAACGAGAAACCGAGGTACTACAGCTATTGTGACATCATTTTTTAAGCCGATTTTTTTAAATAAGGCCTCAGGTAATATATTAGTAAAGTTGTAGACACTGTAAGCTAAATTTTTGGTGAGCAGATGTTTTGATGAATGAAATGTCCAATATATTGTAATAAAATATTGTGTGCTGAGGGCTACACATGTTTTTGTGGGCTAATTGATACTTTATGTTCGGCTGCCATTCCTAGGCTACATAATAGTAGATAGTAAGAGTGAAATCCTGGTGTATCATACAGCAACGGAACCTGAGAGTTCTCCCCTAATGGAGAATAGTGTAAGTCCTGACTTTTTTTCTAAACCTGAGTCTTCCAAGAGATCTGTACATACTACTGAAGTAGTGCATCAGCATGTTCATTATCTGTCTGCCAGAAATGGGATATCTCTTTTTATTGCGGCCGTTAATATTTTGGGTTTTATATGTGATTTCGTTTCCTCTTCCAGTTCAGAGCAGAAGATAAACAATATAATCGCATTTAAAGGTAATTACTGTAATTGAACATTTAACTGAGGAAAATGGACTCTAACTAATAAAACCTAGATCTTCACACTCTTCGCTTTGGATTTGTATATTTATTTAGAGTTGCAAACAGATTAGCACTGACAGACTTCAAGTTTCTCAAACTGGTTATGCACTTCTGAACTCCCTGAGCTCTCCATGGCCCAAAGAAATTCTGCACTGTTGTACTCGTTAGCTAATGTTTGCTAGAGGTTCAATTTTAAGACATTTTTAAACTAAAGATGAAGCTGTGGTGCAAATATCACTGTATTTCCTTGTTATGTGGTTTGTTTTCTTTGGTGAAGTAATGATACTCCAAACCAGCAAATTTCTCAAATTTTGTAGTTATGCCTCTCTACTAGAAGGACATAGTGGTATAGTTCTTCATTTACAGCTTTACTATCAATTTGGTTTTTTTTTAGTTGGTTGATTGGTTGTTTTTTTAATCTTCAGCAATTTGGTAGTTTCATTTGAGCTTCCCTTCTTGAATATTTACCAGAAAAACACACAAAAATATGTAATTGATAGTTCTTCTCCAGAGAAGGACGTGAACCCCGCCCAAATCCCTAGGGGGCAGCTCATAGCCTGTCTCACGGATCTGGGTTTACCTACAGCCCTAGCTATTTCGTTTCATTTTCATGCACATCAAATTGATTATAGTTAGCACTATGGATGTATCCTTCATCCAGCTAATATATGAATTACTGTTGTTTGCCTGATATGAGAAAAAGATGTATGCTTTGCTTTTCCTATGATGGTCTGTTATGCTTTCTTTTTCATGCTAAGATTGAGAGCTCCACAATAATGCTTCTAAATTGGTATTTCTCTAAAGTTGTTTTGTATGAGTAAAATTATGACATTTCATCGACGTTCCTTAACTGAAAAAGAAGTGACCTGATAGGAATTTGAATAAAAAGCATTAAAAGAATCAGAAAATAACAAAATGGACTTCTGTGCAGGGAGCTATTCCCATTTCTATGTAATGTCCTTGGATGCATTAATTTGTTTATACTGCAACTTAGAATATGTTATTAAAAATATCACACATGACAAAGGAGAATTGAGTTTCATTACTTGAATGTAATTATCTCACACTGTGTGAAAGAGCCTTTTTTTGTCAACAGCAAAGTAAAAGCGTTAAGCCTATTATAACATCTCTTTTGATGTTTTTGTAGGATGTAATAAAAGATGAATGCTCAGTGCTGAAGCTGCAGCTAAAGGAGAGAGATGAACTCATAGCCCAACTTCGTGAGGAGCTGGTAAGCAGGAGATGCTTTTTTTTTTTTTTTTTTTTTTTTAAGGTAGTTCCTTTACCTGACAGTGTCATTCACCAAGACTGGAAACTAAATAAATACAATTTCACACCTGCTGCAGAATGGCTAGCCTAAGGCTATGTTAATCTTTCAGATTAACACTGATAACTCTGTATGGTTCTAGGGGCTCGTCAGCCTCTGAAGTGGCTACTATCTAAATGCACTGCTAGTAGAGGTTGGTTTTAAAAGACTATGTTGAAACTTGTCTTGCAGAATCAAAGAGGCATTAATCAGTGGTGGAGGAAGAGCACAGCACTGTATGCCTTGCTTAGCATGTGCCGGAAATCTTGAAGGGCTTGTGCACGTGATGGTGAATTGTGAACATTCCTCCCATGAGCTACCTTTCACAACTACAAAATTATTTGAAATGAAGTACTCTTTTTCTTTTAAATAGATATGTTTTTAACTCTAGGAAAAAAAAAAAGATATTGTCATGCTTGCTGAACTTTTCCTTATATTTACCTAACAAGGCTTCAGCACTACCATTTTGAGCATAGGCACATTATCCCCAAATAATTTTAAAAAGCCATTTGTGATGGAACATGATTAAAACAGTGTGTGTTCAGTATTCCTAATTGTATAAACAATTGAAGGATGGGGAATTTTTCTGCTGCTCTCTTCACAAATAGAGAACTTAATTATGTAACGACTGCACAGAGAAAGCACGCAAGGACGCATTTGGGTCACCACATTCCAGAAGAAGCTCAGCACATGCTTAAGACTTGTACGCTTGCTGCTATGGCACGCAGAGATGTGCAGGCAATTCAGATTTTGTGTAAGCACCCTTCTGGAGGCCAGGTTGTTTCCTTAACCAGAACTTAATTTTCTGATCTAGCTCAGGTGCTTTTTGTGCCTTTTTGCCTCACCAGGTGGTGGCCAGGTCGAGAGTTGGACAGAATGAATTCAGGTGCACTCATACGAACCAGACAGAGACTTTGCTAAGTTGGCTGGGCAGTGTCAGACCTATCGGAGAGATCAGAAAGGTCCTCAAGGGCTGCTAGCCCCGTGACCGTGGCAAAGTTACACAGCATGTCAGCAGCTATAAATCACAAGTGGCATGGGGAAAATGTAGCGCTGCTCACTGATGAAACACGCTTTTGCTGTATTAACATCTGCAAAATAAACACAGGTCATCAATATTCTTTGTTTCAGATTTGGCTACATTAAGCAATGATGTATTATGTAATTATTATCTAAAATCAAATGACAAAATGGGACATAGGGAACATCAGGCTTCTGCCCACTTCTGGAGCATTAATTTTATATCAGCCTAGTTCAGAACATATGCTATTACCTAGTTGACCACTTTGCCACTCTAAAATTAGCCTGCATTGATACAGTGAGCCGTAGCTCATATGCTGTTAATTGTTGTCAGAGCTCATCTATGCATATGTCAGCTGCAGAAAAAGTCACATAGGGAATTTGGTGTTTGTACTTCGTAAATAGGCAGAAAAGTCTATCACCCTCACGAAATAAGGTCATGAAATAAGGATTTCCCTAAGAGTTAAAGTGAGTATCATGGATTAAAGCGGGGCTTCAGTACTGACACTCTAGGACCTGGTAAAAAGAGTACAGGTAGGATTTTTGAGACCACGCTTAGTCTTTTTGAATGAAGTTTGGAAGGGACGTGGCATAGCTCGCTTCCTCCTGTTGATCCAAATAAAGCAAGAGTGGGAGACTAACACTGCAGAAGCTAGCAAGCCTATGAACCCTACTAAAAAAACGTAGTGGGTGCGCACCGGATTGGCACCGCCAAAGGGGGGGCAAGCGCCCACCCTGTCTAGCCT